TCTCGTCATTATCATTTAGGGCGCATAGCACGATAGTGACGAACATGTACATTAGCGAACATGTACTTTCATAGAGCTATAAATCCTTGTTATGCCTTTCCATTATTAACTTTGATTACCCACAAGTTCATGAGCTCAGGTTGTTCAACCTTGACTTTCACAAGAGTTATACTCATATTCACTTTTACAAGACTTCCGCTGTTTTACTAGTCTACAATTCCAGTAAAGATCCTAGGCTAACATTTGAGGTTTTCCAAGTGTTCGTGTTTGCAGATTCTATACTTAGTCTCCTACAAGTCCTGCAACACCTGTCAAATTATTACAGTACCCACTAAGAACATACCCTATCGAGCCTATAACTTTTACATACCGTAATCCCCCGTATATAACACCCGCCGAAATAGTCACTCCGCGGGTGGTTTATGCGGGGGAGAGCTTATGATAGGGTGAATTTATCAGAGCACCCCCTTTTCGGGGGTTGCATTTTACATAACACCCTCCTCGTTTTATGTAGCAAAGTGTTCAAATTATATTTTAATATAATTGTTAGGCTTGGTAGGTTACTGAACCTTACTGTAGAGGGTACAAACCCCTCCTTGTACTCTCTCTCTTCCTAATCTAACTCTCTTCTCTCTCGACACTCTCTTCAACTTCCTAGCTAAACCCTTGGCCGCCATTTCATGGCGGCCTCCTCTGTTCTTCCTAGTTCAGACTTTGACATGGTATCGAGAGCGGGATGCCCTTCCTGGGCCTGCTCCCCTCCGTGCTTTCCGCTGCGTTCTCGTGCGTTCGTCGCTCCTGCCGCGCCGCCGTGGCGGCCATGTCGCATGGCTGCCACGTCGAGCAGCCGTGCTGGGCTTGCCGCCCTGGCGTGGCGGCTCCGCCGTTCCACCTCCCCGTCGCGCCCCTCCTGGGCCCTGCCGTGCCTCCTATCCACGTCGCGCCCCTCCTGGGCCCTGCCGTGCCTCCTATCCACGTCGCGCCCCTCCTGGGCCCTGCCGTGCCTCCTAGCCCAGTCGCGCCCCTCCTGGGCCCTGCCGTGCCTCCTAGCCCAGTCGCGCCCCTCCTGGGCCCCGTCCCGCCTCCTCCTCCCGCCAGTAAGCGCCGCGCCTATGGCGCCACGCTGAAGTCCTGCAGCCCCACCACCTCTCCCTCCCCTGCATCTCCTCCTGCTCCTGCAGTAGCTGCTGTCTTCGGCTCGGTCGTCGCCAGCCCGTGCCACACCGCCGAGAGCCCTCAGCCGCCGCAGTCGCCGCCTGTCCTCATCGATACAGCCGCCTTGAGCACGAGCTCCGCCGCTGTCGTCATTGAGGCCGCCCAGATGCGGCCAGCTGCCTCTCGACCGGGGGTGTCATAGCCTAGCACGAGGGGTCGATACCCGGCTGCTCACGAGAATGAGGGTGTCCGGGGTTAGGGGGTGTGTGTGTGGGTTGTGTGGGTTTGCCACTACCAAGCCTAGGGGGTGTGTTCAAATTATATTTTAATATAATTGTTAGGCTTGGTAGGTTACTGAACCTTACTGTAGAGGGTACAAACCCCTCCTTGTACTCTCTCTCTTCCTAATCTAACTCTCTTCTCTCTCGACACTCTCTTCAACTTCCTAGCTAAACCCTTGGCCGCCATTTCATGGCGGCCTCCTCTGTTCTTCCTAGTTCAGACTTTGACACAAAGAACAGTATTTTGTTGTTTTTCAAGCTCAGCTGGATTGAGAAAAAAAAACGAACAGGATGAAAAACGCAGTGTCAACCACCATTAGCAGCGAAAAAACGGCCAGAAACATCAACACAAGTTGCAGCGCGAAATCGAAACGTCAGCAAAGGTCGAGGGACGGGAGGATTTCGACCGTCGAAGTCACGGTTGCTGTTGTGATTTGACGGTCAGAATCCTCCCGAGCGAAATCCTCCCGTCGAAGTCGCGGATTCTGTCGCGGTCATGACGGTCGCAGGTGCCGCACAAACCTGGCCCTGACCACAGCACTCAGCACGGATTGGCCAACGACGATTGGTTTGTGAGTTTCGTCTTGGTGGATGCTGTACCTACCTCGCTAACGGTCGCTCCGCGCATTTGTGAACAGACATGGCCTGAAACACTCAAATTCAAATTGCATTTTACATAACACATGGGCACTATATTTTTCCGGGCCACTGTTAGCACCCAGTCATTTTTTAAGTGAATTTTTATATACACCATAGGGTGTTATATACGGGGGATTATGGGTAACAGTATATGTATAAGTTGACAATATGATATGAAAAAGCAGACCACTCAAAAACCACTCTTTAGGGCGTGGTTGAGAAGAGGTATTACCTGCCAATGGTGAAGGGCAAATCGGTCAAGGCCTTGCCTTAGGCACATCTTAGCCCAAACATCTATATGTAGCTATGGTTCTTGATCCGGTACTTGATCTATGGTTTATTTACATGTAGCTAGTTAAAAATTTATTCACGCCATTTAGAGCATTGCCAAGATTCCATTCGCTTTGTACGGGATATTTTCTGGCTAATACCATCACCCCCACCATTGACTGCCCTCTCCTAAGGCCAGCTGGGCTTTTTCTTCCTCGATTAGCGGGGCCGATAACCAGCTGGTCAAGGGCAGAGCAGACCTCGCTGCGCGGTGCCCCACTGGCTACTGGGGCTTGATTTGTCAGCAGGGCCCTGGCTAACAGGGTAATGTTTCTTAATGTCGCAAAATTAAGAGTTTTTTCTGTCCATATTTGTTTTTTTGCATACTAAAATTATTTTGATTCCGTCTGCCTGGCGGAATAATTTTCGTGTGATTCCTTTATATTGCGGGTAACTTTTATTCGATTTCATACGAAGTGCAATTGCAGTAGGAGTTCTGTTCGTAGTTGTGTATAACCCCTTCCCACCCTCCCTTCTGCTTCTCCCAACTTCCTCCGCTAAGCAAAGCGCGAGGCGAGTTGCCGGGAGTTTTCTACTCTTCTAACTGTCTGAGGCGTAGTGGCGCCAGACAAGTCCCTGGGGTTTCAATTGCTTTTCCTTAGCCGTGGCCAAGGCCATTTGCCTTCAAGGATGTTAGTATCCAACCAAGAGTAGCTCTTCGACGAATCCGTATGCTAACGGGTAATGTTTTGGCTATTCCGTCCGCTAACGGGTATTTTCGGGGCCGATTCCGTGACCTAATGGAATACCCTAGGCTTAGCGAGAGCCCTGTTTGTCAGGCTAGCTCCCCGAGTTTTGCGGTGATATTAGCAGGTTCCATCCATTCCATTCCTCCGCGATGAGTTTCGGAGAGAGAATTTCCGATTGAGCCATTTAGGAAACCATCATGCAAATATTTTTGCGGCTAAGTAACAACCTCTTAACCCCTCCCAGCCAACTTCCGCTCCAAACGAAAGAAAGCTAAGATTCTTGAACCACGGGAATGACTTGGTAGCAGGGAGTGGCGGCTAGGGAGTGTGACTAGTGCGACATCACGGTTTTACTCGGTAATTTTAATTCGTCCCCGCTAACTTGGAGGTTGCCCAGGACAGCCTCCAAAACCAAGACACTCACGTGTATGCAACACGCTGCCGTGCTGATTTTCCAACCAATTCTCCCACCCAATCGCTGCTACACGTGCACTCACGCATGCTTTGTCTGTTGCAGCATCTCCTCCCCTCTCAACTGATGGTCGGTTGGTTCGTTCAATGGTGTCCTTCAATCCTGCTCTGTTGTGAAGCTGCCAACCAACCAACCATAGATGAGCCAAGACATTTCGAAATTCCTGCCATGTCTCATGTCATGTCCAGGGCACGTGTTAACAGAAAAATTACCCTGACTTGACTGAAAATCCAAGGTGATTTCTCGACCAGCCCTGTGTTTCACAGAAATTTTCCAAGCCCAACCCTGACCAACTCAGGGAGATTTTCCAACTCACCCGTAGATTACGGGAGGATTTTGGGAGGACCCGGACCGGGCACCAGGGTAGCATCCAGGAGGTGTAGGAATATCTCAAGGTCCCCAGTCCTCCCTTTCCCCCCTTAAACCCACCCTTTCCTTTCCCAAACTTGGGGAAAGTCGTATAACGACAGGGATCGAAAAGCTTAAACTCGAATATTGCCAAGGTTCCTGTACATTTCTATGTGTTGCTGTCGTTTTTATACGATTCAGTGCGGTAAGATTTCAAACGAATGTTTTTTGGGAAATGAACCGCTCCCTCAGGTGCCAAGGAGCTAGAACTTCACCTGTATTTCCGCATGCACTACCAGATCAATGGTGACTTAACAGCAGGTTTCAAAACGAGCAGCCACGAACAGATGTTCATACCCCAGCCCTTCCCCCCACCCCCCTTCTCCCCGCCCCCCTCTTGGCCCAAATTTAGCTCCTTCACAGGTGCGCCTGTGGTGGAGGATTTCCCAACCCGAAGCTCTCCCACTCGCAACCCCAGTGTCTCGTCCCACAAAAACTGCCCACGCTCTGTCAGGCCTTTTCGAACGCGGACCCTGAAGAATCAGAGTAATTCCTTGACGAAGCTGGATTTTACAGGGTAATTTTTTGAGGGGCTCGGATCGTCCGAGGTGGGAGAAAACTTAGCGATAGCCCTGGTCATGTCATGTCTCCCCCTGATCCCTCTCTCCCCCTGCAGTGGAAACAGAATGGACCACTGAATAAGCAGCAAATGTGACAGAACGGAAAGGTGCATTTAGGCGACCGTATCAAGGGAAAAGAATCCAACTTTCGGTTCACACGTACCAAAAGCTTAGAACTCAGATTTGGCCATTTCCATACATGTGGATCGGACATGGAAATGTCGCTCGACAGATCCGCCAGTCACGTTGCGCGTGGGGAGTCCCCTGCCCGCGCATTGTCACATGCGAGTCTCACATCTCACATCTCGCGAATGCTACTCATCGAGCAGGCCGCTCGTGCCGCGTTGCCAACATCACATCAGATTCCTGCTTGAAGAGCACTGCAAAGAATCATGCGAGCTCACTCACGGGCTCCCCTCGTTCACTGTCCCAGTCAGCTTCCCCGTTTCGTCACGATCGCGGATCCATAGTAGCGAAGAACCACCGTGCTTTGATATTGCCGCATTGAACGCACGCACTGTGTTTCGCCGCATTTCACCTCAGTAGCTTTCTTTTTGCCACTTCAACGAGAGGTTCTCGTTCAATCCAGTGCTTATGCGAATGAATCTCCGAGAATCATAGACTCTGTAGACTCCGAGAATCATAGACTCTGTAGACTCCGAGAATCATACTCTGTAGACTCCGAGAATCTCGTTCGAAGTTTCGAACTTCTTGCGGCAAGTCGCCAGTCGGTCGCATGGCTGAGCAGGCCCAATTTTTGCAGACGGGGGAGAAAGACTCGTCAGAGCATTTATCAATAGTAGTGGAGCCACGAAATGGCGATAATGCAGCGGCTGTCGTCACGACAACGGTCGTTGTCGAGACGATAAGCCGCGGTGTGGGCGGATCGCATACAGAGCGCGACGAATCTGAAAGGTTTCTGACAGGTAACGGCGTCGACGCCGTCGCAACTGTCGCCGGCGAGGCGTCGCACAGCCAGTTGAAGACGAACCCGCCGCACCGGCGGAGTCCACGGCGAGATCATGACGGCAAAGCGTCAAGTGACACGTCAGCAGACGGTCAAATCATGAAACGGAAAGGGCTGTATGGCACCGGCAGTTCCGACGTTCGATGCTTTGAGATCGACTCGTCCATGTCGATGCTTTGCGGCCCGGGCAACAAAGTCGCAGACGAACCCAGCGACGACGATGGCGACGACGATGGCGACGACGATGGCGACGACAGCAGTTCGCGACGAAATCGGATCGCGAAATCCCTTGCAAAAGGTAGCGGAAGCGCAAGCGCAAGCGGAAGCGGAAGCGGAAGCGCACGCGCAAGCGGAGTGGGAAAGGACGGGAGGACATCGAGAAGAGGCCCTCTCACGCGGATCGAGGAGCCAATCCGCGTGCGACGCGGGGACTTCGACCTTAGGAGAGAGAACCACTACGTGATCGTCATTCACGGAACGTTCGACGCGCCGCCGGCCGACGGCGCGGCGACGTGGTACCAGCCGCCGGCGCCCGGCGAGCAGAACTTCTGCCGCAAGCTGAGCCGGCTGCTGGCGGGGGGACCCATCGGGGAGGACGCCATCTGGCGCGAGCTGCCGTGCTCCGCGCTCCCGGGAATACCGTACCCGTTCCACTGGGACGGCACCAACACGCACGCCGGCCGCGTCACCGCTGCGATGAAGGTGAGGAGGAGGGGGGGGGGAGAGGGGGGGAGATGGGCGAGGCTCAGTGTGTGTTTTTCAGTGAACGTTTTGTCTGCTGCTGTTCCATATACTTGTGTCGATTGTATGTTGTTCATTGTTGGGCGAGGCTGAGCGCGTGTGCTGCTTCGTCATGTGCTGCTTCGTCATGTGCTGCTTCGTCATGTGCTGCTTCATCTGTTCATTTATCGTTCCTTACACGCTCCCCCATCTCTCTGTTGCACGACGTCATCACTGATGATCGACCAGATCGCGCTTTGAAACGAATCACTGACACGCTGTTCCGCACCTGCTCCCCCATCTCGCAGCTGCACACCATCATGATGATCGACCAGATCGCGTTTGGAGACGTCTCAAAACGAGATTAGTAATTTCGTTTTGAGAAACCAAATTACTGACACACTGCTCCTCACCTGTTCCGCACCTATTCCCCCCGGGGGGCATCTCGCAGCTGCACACCATGATCGACCAGATCGCTCAGAACGACCCCGCGGCTCGGATCCACTTAGTGGCGCACTCCCACGGCGGCAACGTGCTGCTCAAGACAGTAGAACTGGTAAGTACGAGGCATACATAAAGAATGAGCATTAGTGTATTATACACTAGGCGTCTGTTATTCTTAACGAATCAGCATAAGTGTGTTATACACCAAGCATCTGTAATTTCAGAAGAATGAGCCTTAGTGTATAACTCTCGATTAGTAAGAATGGGCCACTTTCACAAATCCATCACATCGAGCTTCACAGCGGTCCTATCGCTCTCAACCTCTCGCCCGAATGCCTCAATTCAAAAGTACTATAAACGACCGTATTTCTTCATATCCAATCATCCGTACCCTCTCACCCTCACCTTCTCCTCCCCTCCCCCTCCTCTCCCCAGTGCATGGTTAAGCTGGGCCGGCGCCCCAGGACTCGTGTGCTTACCCATACCCCATCACCCATCTCCTCTCCCCCCTCTCTCCTCCCCCTCCCCCTGGCCCCCCCCCCAGTACATGGCGAAGCTGGGCCGGCGGCAGAAGGACGAGTGGCATCCGGCAGTGGCGGAGAGGTTTTGGGCGGCGCACCGGCAGAGCTACGAGCTGATCAAGAAGTGGCGGCGAATCGACCTGCGCGGGTCGTGGTGGCGCTTCTTCCCCCTCCTCATCGTGTTCCGGCGGTACGTGAGTGAGGAAGGGAGGGAGGGAGTGAGTGAGGGACCCAAGAGTGAAGGAGTAACGGGCACTGCTAATAGCCACATTCCTTTCACCAACACCTCTCTCGGTCAAACCCCCCACCCCCCCCCTTCCCCCCCCCCTCCCCCCGCACAACCCACAGTTTAAACAGCTGGGAAGAAGCCATGGGAAAAAAGTGGTACCCGCAGGTGTATCACCAGTGGTCACCTCCTCCCCCCACTCTCCCCCACCCCCACCCCCCACCCCCCCCCGTTCTTTCTCCCTCCCACTTGCAGATTCAATGGCCGGCCAGCAGCCAAAGGAAAGGAGTGGTACCCGTGGGCGTACCACCAGTGGCTGGACTCGCTTCTCGGGCTGCCGGCGGTGCGGCAGCGGCGCTTCCTGGCCTTCCGCCACGCCACGTCGCCCATCACCAACGCCCTCGGCGCCCTCGTGTTCCTCGGCACGCCCTTCTACATCAAGAAGTGGCAGAAGAACGGGCTGCTGTGGTTCGCGGTGTCAACGATGATGTCCGTGGTCATCATGTACATCTTCATCATCGCCTACACGTCCTTCTGGCAGATCGTTGTGCTGCTGATCGCCGGCAGTCCGCAAGAGTGAGTTTGGTTGTGTGGCATTGCTTGTGGTGTGACTGTATGGGGTTGTCGATGGCCATTATGGATGTCTTCGTCATCGAGTATATGTCCCTCTGGCAGATCACCGTGCTGCTGATTACTGGCCGAGCAGAAGAGCCAACGGTTGTTTATCTCGCCTTAGGAGCACCATTCGTCTTGGTCTCTCTCTCCCCTCTCCATCTCTCTCTCCCCTCTCCATCTCTCTCTCCCCTCTTCATCTCTCTCTCCCCTCTCCATCTCTCTCTCCCCTCTCCATCTCTCTCTCCCCTCTCCATCTCTCTCTCCCCTCTCCATCTCTCTCTCCCCTCTCTATCTCTCTCTCCCCTCTCCATCTCTCTCTCCCCTCTCCATCTCTCTCTCCCCTCTCCATCTCTCTCTCCCCTCTCCATCTCTCTCTCCCCTCTCCATCTCTCTCTCCCCTCTCCATCTCTCTCTCCCCTCTCTATCTCTCTCTCCCCTCTCCATCTCTCTCTCCCCTCTCCATCTCTCTCTCCCCTCTCCATCTCTCTCTCCCCTCTCCATCTCTCTCTCCCCTCTCCATCTCTCTCTCCCCTCTCCATCTCTCTCTCCCCTCTCCATCTCTCTCTCTCGTCCTCTACATGCTCCGCCCCTCACTTCCCTTGTCGCATCTTTTCCCTCTCCTTCCCCCTATCCCTGGGCTCTCTCCCCCCTCCCCCTCCCCCTCCCCCTCCCCCCCGCACACCCCACCAACACCAGCTTCTATCAACGCGCGCTCCCCCCTCTCACTTCCTCATCATCCCCTCCCCCCCTTCCTTTCCCCCCCCTTCCCTTCCCCCCCCTTTCCCTTCCCCCCCCCTTTTCCCCCCCCCTTCCTTTCCCCCCCCTTCCTTTCCCCCCCCTTCCCTTCCCCCCCTCTCCCTTGCTCCAAACTTCCTCATCATCTCTCCGCCCTTTCCCCCCCTCCTCCCCTCCCCCCCCCCTCATGAACGACAGCTTCTACTCGCATTCTGCCCCCAACTTCCTCATTGCAACGGGGATCATGCTTCTTGTCTTGGTCAAGCAAATCATGGATGTGAGTATAGCGAGAGGCGGTTGAGAGAGTACAACGAGATGTGGGTGTGAGTAAAACGAGGTGCTGGTGTGAGTTAATCCACACTCCAGTGTGAGAATCTTGAGCTGATTACAGTGGGACATTGATTTGAGCTTAGCAAGTTTGGATGTTAGTGTGGCGAGATGACGATATGTAATGAGAGGTGAGGATGAGTGTAGCGAGACAAGCATGCAAGTGTGAGTGCATTGCTTGCGATGTGGATGTGGTGGGAGTAGTAGGAGTGCCACAGTCTGACTGGAGTGTTTTTGAGATGTAAGTGGGAGTGAAGCTGGTATTTTAGGATTCTCAAAAGCTGGTTTGTGAGAAAAAGAAAAAGAAAGAAAGAGAAAAACTAGCAGTCTGACTGTAGTACGACACTTGGCAGAGTCTCGTGCTGACACTTCCATGTAGGCACCATTCGGCAGCGCTGCATTGGACAGTCAAAATCTCAATGTCTATTTCCATGTTTCTCCCTCTCATTTCCAAGCTCATTATCCTGCGGACTTCCCTCTTCGTGCGGCTCACAGACTTTTGCAAAGAGTAGTCGCACGAGACGTCTGCTCCTTCCCCTTCCACAAGGCCTGTTCGTGCGAGGCGAGACGAGGCGAGACAAGACGAGACGAGATGAGGCCTACTCCGGCCTGCTCAGCCTGCACATCTATTCCCATCTTTCCACTCTCTACTCCCCTCAGGCTGTGGGCAACACGGTGTTTTACAGTGGCAATCTCTACCACAACCCCACCTTCGACTGGTCGCCTGCCATGTCTGCCCTTGTCATTCATGCCGGAAAGCTGGACGAGGTGAGCCCCTCACTCCCCCCCTCCCCCTTCCCCCAAACTTGGAGTGCATTTTGAGTGGTAGGGGCAGACATGGCAGGCTCAAAACGCACCTTCGACTGGTCGCCTGCCATGTCTGCCCTCGCCATTCCTGCCGGAAAGCTGGACGAGGTGAGTCCGGTCCACACACCTACCCTCCTGCCTGGCTTTCATGTCGCACAGCTACAAGAGAGGGGGGGCCCCCTCTCGCCGCCAACCCCTGTCCCCACACCCCTACATTCTCTTCTTTCATGCTGCAAAGCTGGAGGTGACCTCTCTTGTCGATTTTTGAGGTGCCTAAAAAATAGACAAACCATCCCCACGCGCCTACATGCCCTGTCTCTCTTTCATGCTGCAAAGCTGGAGGTGACCTCTCTTCTCGATCAAACCACCCTGCTCCATCCATTTACTCCCCCCTTCCCTTTCCTTGCACAGGTCTTGTCTTCTTTTTTCTCATCCCAAAATCTCCCCTTCTCACTTCCCTTCTCCCCCCACCATCAAATCGTCTCTTCCCTTCTCCCCCCACTCGCACTCTTCCCTCCTCACTCCATCCCTCCCCACCACCAGGCCAGTCTAGCCCTGTCCATGGAGCCAATCACGCGCGCCTACGTCTTCCCCCACCTGACAAAACTCCTGAAGCAGACCCCCTGGGCGCCCTTCCCCAAGGCCCCCACGCGCTACGCCCGCCAGGTGGACTGGTGGGCGTACCTATTTAACTGCACCATCGTGCTCGTGTGGGACACGCTCTTCTTCATCCCGGCTGCCATCATGTCGATCTTCTCACACATCATCGCGCCGATTGTAACCAGCTCCATACAGAACATGATTGTCACGATCAGCTTCGGGTTGTCTCCAGGGGATTTGAACCACGCCTACATCTATGTGGACGAGCACCTGGAGATGGACCGTGTGACGCAACCAGTTGACCACTGGAACGTGCAGGTCGGTACTGTTGCTCACATCACTCCGTACCTAACAATTGCTACCCTTCTATCGGAACCACACGTTGTACGTCTTCCAAAATAAAAATTGAAAATGAAATCCTCGTTCCAAGAAACGAGAAACGAGAGTGTTTTCATATTTTTGTTCGCATTCTTGTTGTCGTTTCCTCCTTGTTTCTTTTACTTCTCCCCTCTTTTTCGTTCTTGTAATATGAGATCCCCTTTTCTGTTGATTTTCCACGTCTCCCCCCCCCCCCCCCCCCACATCACTAACTGTTAGCACCCAGAGTGGCTAGGGCCCGTTTTCACCCTTCCTCCCTCCCTCTCCCCTCCTTCCCTCCCATCAGAAACTCTTGGCTGAAGCCAAGACAAAGTCTCTCAAGGGCGAGCTCATGCCCGGCTATGAGGACGACACCGTGGAGCAGCCCGAATGGCTGGGACCCGTGCTGGACTCCCCCAGCGGCTGCGCTGCGCGCTCACCGCTTCGCAATGGTGGTGGTGGTAGTGATGGCGGGTGTGATACCGATGGTGGTGGGGCTGCTGCTGCTGCTGCAGTGATCAAATCTCCCACGCGCATAGGAGCCAGCTCGCAGGAAGGCACATGTATCTGTGACGAACCACAAGAAGCAGCGGCAGCAGCAGCGGCAGCAGCAGCAGCAGCAGGGGGAAGTGGTGCTGTGGTGAATCGCACAAAGCGTGAGGGGGGTGTATTCCGAAAGAGAAGGACCTTTCGAGACTTGCTGCGGAGGCGGACAGCAAGTGAGAGGGGCATGAAAGGAGCCAAGGGGGGAGTGACCCTGGCAGCTGTAGCAGAAGCAGCAGTGGCTGTTGCGAGTGCGGCTGGAAACGTGAGGGAGGGAAGCGATGTGTGTGGGGAAGAAGCTGCTGCCGAACCAACTGGTTCGGCGACATCTGGTTCAGTTTCATCTAGTTTGCCTGCATCTGATTCCACTCCTGCTAGTGCAACTGATCCTTCTGCTTCCGGCACTTCAAGCACCGAAGAATCAAACCCCTCTGAAAGCCCGGAGAAGCCCAAAGAACCGAGGGAGAAGCTAGCATACGAGTTTCTGTGGGACGACAGGGAGCTCGCCGTCTTGGCAGAGCAGTCCCACACGTTCCAGCGGCTCAAGTCCCAGATGCACACCATCGGCCGCAACCCGCGCATGAGTGAGCACGAGTTCGAGCGGCAGCTGAAGCAGCAGTGCGTGATGATCAAGGAACGTGTGGGCGAGCTGACGGGGCGCTTTGACCTCAACCACGGCGCGTACTTCCGCGACCCGCGCATCCTGCGAGTGATAGCGCACTTCATTGAGAAGAGGGAGCTGCCCGAGTGGTCCAAGGACATGGATGGGGATATTTGGAGGTGGAATGAGCGCGTGAACTCTCTACACTCTATGCATCTGCTGCAGATGTCGATGGGCAGTGGAAGGGCGGGAGGGGGGGGGTTGGGAGCGTGGGGAGGATTGGGAGGAGAGGAAGGAGGAAGGGAGGGAGGAGGGAAGGAGGGAGGTGGGAGTTCTTGTGCTGAGGAGGGGAGGAGTCATGCTGCGCTGCTCAAGGCCCTGCTCAAGAGTGTGCGTGGGGGGGGGGCAAAGGAGGTGGGTGGGAGGGGGTCCAAGTCCCTGAATGCCGCCAGTTCTGACTCTAGCGGCATTGCAGACCTCTCTAGTGGGGCGAGGGATTCAGCCGAGGGGTCGCTGGGGTCGGGGAGCTTCAGCAGCAGCAGCCATCCCAAGAGTAAGGCAGTGAGCTTCAGTGTTCACCGTGTGTCTCTCCCTAACCTGAATGCTGAGGGTGGACGAGCAGGGGAAGGCAGGGCAAGACGGACGAGTGAGAGTGAGAGTGAGAGAGTGAGGGTGGAGAGCCGTGGGGATGAGAAGGTGGGTGCGATGCTGCGCTCGCGCTCCACTCGCATTTAGGGTGCATGGTCAGGTGATGGTCCGACGGAGGGTGCTGCAGAGAAGTGGGGAGGGAGGATCTGCATATCTACTACAACTATAGTAGTCTTAGGTACTTGACATTATAACGTGACAACTATGTCCACTATGTATTATGCATACTAATGTACGGTACTATCAAAGCATTATTGATTGCTTGGATGGGCTCAGGGTGTGGAATTTATTGCACGGCTAGCGGAAGCACGTGCATTCCTACGGCATATTCCTACACTGCTGGATCAGGCGAAGTGGGGTCAGACTCAAGTGGTACAGTGCGGTGCAAATGTGAATATGCACTTCATCTCACCACCACCCTCTGTCTTGTTGACCTTGAGCCTGCCGGCAGCATGTGGCCACCAGGCTGCAAATAGAGCCCAACTTCCAAAAACGGTCTGAAAAATCATGCTCCCATCCCATGGTCAAGCCTCTAGGGCTAGTCAAGCAGGGCTAACGTTAAAAAAAACCACCCTGAGCTGTCAACTAAACAAAAAAAAAACCGTGAGGGCTCTGTTTTGGAAAATTGCCTACCCTGATCTGTCAGTGTTCCGAAACTTGAAACCCTGAAATTTTCAGGGTTCACAGAACGCAATCAGGGTCGAATTCAGCATGCCCCAACTGCCGCATAATCTCCTTTCGTAGACAGGGTCTTCGCGAGCCTTTTTCCTAAGTGGTTAGACGAGGGGGGTTATGGTGGGTGGGGGGGCGGGGATGTCTATTTCTGATTTTCCAGACGAAGTGAAAATACGAACTCAAATGAATCGTACGGCTCACAGCTCAAGTGAGGGCGGAAAATCGAAAGGAGGGGATGTCAAACATATATATAGGTTATGTTTGTATAGACTGTATAGGTTCATATCTTAGAGGGTACAACACTTAGACATATACCCTTGAAATGTTTTCTCTCGACATTCAATTCTACCTTAAGATGGTATCACGCTTGGTAGGTAGGTCCCGCCGCCCACGCTTCCACCCTAGGCCCTCGTCACGCCACCCCTAGCTAGTCGCGCCCGTCCTAGCCTGCCCCCTGAGCCGTCGGGCCCGTCCTAGCCGGCCCCCAGAGCCGTCGCGCCCGTCCTAGCCGGCCCCCTGAGCCGTCGCGCCCGTTCCTAGCCAGCCCCCTGAGCCGTAGCGCCCGTTCCTAGCCGGCCCTCTGAGCTGTCGTGCCCGCTCCTAGCCGGCCCCCCTGCGCCCGTCGCGCCCGTCCCTAGCCGGCCCCTCGCGCTCGTCCCTAGCCGGCCCGTCGCGCCCGTCCCTAGCCGGCCTGTCGCGCCCGTCTCTAGCCGGCCCGTCCCGCTCGTCCCCAGCCGGCCCGTCGCGCCCGTCCCTAGCCGGCCCCTCGCACCCCCCGTCGCGCTCACTCCGTAGCCGGCCCCTTCATGCCCGATCCGCGCCGGCCCCGCATTCGTCTCGCCGCCGGCCCACCCCCGACTCGTGCCCGGCCCGTCCTTCCCGACCAGCACCGCACTGCCCCGCCCGGCACCGCTCTACACCGCACTGTACCGCATAGCACCGCACTGCACCGCGCTGTACCATTTTGCACCGCACAGTATCGCACAGCATCGCACTCCACCGCGCTATACCGCTCTGCACCGCACATCACCGCACTGCACCGCTATGCACCGCACTGCCCCGCGCTGCACCGATCTGCACCGTACAGCACCGCGCTGCTGCTGCATCGCTCATGATGGCGGACTCAGAGGGACATCCAATCGAATTTGACGCGTGGCTGGTCGACCTCCGGCGTCACCTCACTGGTCAGTGGCAGGACAGCCACTCCCTGGTGGTCCATCTTGATGGTACAGTCCCCTGCCCTGACCCGCCTGCTCCCCTGCCCACTGACCCCTCATCTGCTGACCATGAGTCCGCCGCAGCTGCTGCCCTTGCCCGCTCAGTTTGGCTGTCACGTGACCCTGTCGCGCAGCTTGCAATCAGTCATGCCCTCCCCCTGTCTGAGCGCCCACGCTTTAGGTCAGTGACGACCGCGCAAGAGTTTCTAGAGGCCGTCGTCAAGCGATATTTCACTCTGCCTGCTGCCTCTGTAAGTCGCCTGATCCTACCGATGCTCTTCCCTGACCTTGCGTTCTTCCCTACTGTCGCTGACCTAGCCACTCACCTGCGCACGATAGACGCGACCTGGCGTGCTGCCTGCACTGAGACCCAGCTTAGAGCCTTTCAGCTGCCCCTCTGCTCTGCCCTCTACCTGCTGCCACCCGCTTCCCTGATCGTCTTGCTACTGCGCGTGACCACTTCCTTAGCACCCACCCTGGTGACCTCACCCTAACTGACTTTGTCGACACCCTAACTGCCATAGAGACCCGCCAGCACTCTATCGCCCGGACCAGCGGTACTGTGCCGGTCCCTATCTTTCAGGGTTGTGCCCCCGCTCAGTGCACCTTCTCCGACGGTTCTGCTGCTGTGGCTGAGTCCGCAGCTGCAGCGCAGATCCGTTCCGGGAAGGGCCGCCGCCCCAAGGCTGGACGCGGCGGTGGGGGTGGTGGTGCAGGTGGAGGTGGTGGTGGAGTCGGGTCGCGTAGTCGTAGCACTGACGAGGGGACCCTGACAGGTGCAGCCGAGCAGTCGCCTCAGCAGCCGCAGGTATCGCACCCCGACATGCACCAGCCGCAGCAGCAGCCCTAGCACCAGCCTCTGCAGCCGCTGCAGCAGAGGCAGGCGAGTGGACTCCCGCCCGGGTGGCTTGGCGCTGGTGGTGGTGGTGATGGATGTGGTGGTCGTGCGCGTGGTGGACTGCCGGGTGGCGGGTCGGGTGACGCGCGCTATCAGTACCAGCTCCAGACCGGTCCTCGACGTGGTTTTGTTTGCGGTAAGATCGGTCACACCTCCGTCCGCTGTTTCCGTCGCCTGGACGATTTGTTTTGTCAGCGCTTCGGCCTGACGCCCGACCTCCCTGACTGGCATAGCTTGCTTCGCCGTAGCGTTCAGATCTTTGATATGGACATGGATGAGATTGTTGCTGCCATGCATGTGATGTATGCTGATGACTCTAGTGTGACTGCTTCTTACTACCCCTTGTTGCCTAGTGTAGGCATGTCTAGTCGTGCATCCCCTGCTGCGTCAGGCATAGGATCCCCTACTTTGTTTAGCCTAGGTTCTAATGTCACTGCTCTGTCCTCAGACGCCACCGCTGCGCTCTCCTTCACCCTCGACTCTGGCGCTTCTCGGTGTTTCTTCCGTGACTCTACTATGCTGACGCCTCTTGCTACTCCTGCTGCAGTTTCTCTTGCCGACCCCTCCTCCGGCCCAGTGGTCGCTCGCAGTTCCACCACCCTTCCCTGTCCGGCGGTTCCTTCGGGCTCTCTTATAGGCCTGCACATCCCCTCGTTCTCCAGGAACCTAGTTGGTGTCGGCTGCCTCCAGGACCTTGGCGTCACCACTACGTTCCTTGGTCACGAGCGGTACGCTGTCTGTACCGAGGCCGCCACTGGTGCCCCCCTCACCACGTTCCCTCGGGACCCGGTGTCCGGCCTGTTTACACTGGACACTACGAACCCCCCAGTAGGGACGTCTCCTCAGGTGGCTGCGTCTACCCAGGTTGCTGCGGCTTGCTCCTGCCGGTCGCTCACTCACCCGACACTCCTGTGGCACCACCGGCTAGGTCATCTCGCCCTCCAGCGTCTGCGTCACATGTCACAGCACGGTCTTGTCCTAGGTCTCCCAGGGTCGTTCCCCGAGTTGCCCTCCTCCCTAGCACCACCGTGCACGCCCTGTGTCGAGGGCTGCCTCCGCCGTGCCCCTCACTCCTCCTCGTTCCCCCCTACCGCCGCTCCGCTACAGACTCTGCACATGGACGTCTGGGGCCCCGCCCCGGTCCATGGGCCGCGTCAAGAGCGCTACTTCCTAGTGCTTGTCGATGACTACACGCTCTACACCACCGTGTTCCCCCTGGAGCAGAAGGCCGACGTGCCTGACGTTCTCATCCCGTGGCTTGTCTCTGCGCGTGTCCACCGCGGTCTCCCTGTCTTGCGTCTCCACTCCGACCGTGGTGGCAAGTTTGCCTCTGGTGTCCTTGGTTGTTTCTGTCGTGCGGAGGGCATCACCCAGACGTTCACCCTGCCAGACTCCCCGCAGCAGAATGGGGTCGCTGAGCGACGCATCGGCTTGGTCATGGAGGTGGCCCGTACGTCCATGATCCATGCCGGTGCACCCCATTTTCTGTGGCCATTCGCTACGCCTCTCACCAGCTTAATGTGTGGCCGCATCCCCAGCAGCCGCAGGGTTCGCCCACCCTTCTTTGGTCCGGGTCTCCTGGTGACGCGTCTGCGTTTCACGTTTAGGGCTGCCTTGCTCACGTTCGTGCCTCTGGCACGGACAAGCTTACTGCCCGCACTCTCCCTTGTGTCTTCCTTGGTTTCCCCCTTGACGCGTCCGAATGGCACTTCTACCACCCGCCGTCTCACCGGTTCTTTCTCTCCCGTGACGTCACCTTTGACGAGTCCGTCTCCATCTACCGTCACTTCCCCCACAGAGGTCCCCCGATTACTCCCCCCCTGTTCCTGGTTACCCCTTCCAGGGACGCCCCTGTCCCCCCTCCTCCCCCTCCCCGTCCTGCACCATCTGGTGCGTCTCACGTCACTCCCCTCCCATTGGTTGTCCCGGTCGCGGAGTCTGCTGACTCTAGTGGCCCTGCGGCGCAGTCCTTGCCGCCTGCCCCTTCCCAGGTGTCTCCTCCTCCGCCGCCTTCGCAGCCGCCATCGCCGTCGCTGTCGCAGCCGCCATCTCCGCCGCCGTCGCCGCCGCGGCCGTCGCAGCAGTCGTCGCAGCAGCAGTTCGTTGACTCTGGGGGTGCTGGCGTTGGGGTGGGTACTAGTCCTGGGGTTCCTGTCATGGCTTGTCTCGGTGGGCCTGGGGGTGGTACCAGTGATCACGGGGTTTCGGGCTCCGGGGGTGTTCCTTCTGGGGGTGCTGGAGTGGAGTGTTCCGGAGGTAGCCGTGGAGCAGCTTGCCGTCCCCGTGTCGGTATCGTGCCGCCACAGCAGCAGTCACCGGTGGTGTCAGCCCTTCGCCTGCTCGGCCTCCCATCCCCTGACCACATGTCCGTGCCTCCCCTGCCGTCTCCTCCCCTTCCTGTCTA